CCATACTTCTTCACAAATTTTCTTCAATTTGTTTAAATTCGATGGATTACTTTTATGAACTCGTAACTTCAATAGTTTCCACAAATTTTCGATTGGATTTAAATCCAGTGACTGGCTTGGCCATTCCAGGACATTAATGTCATTATTATTAAACCAATTCTTAGTTGTTTTAGCAGTATGCTTTGGGTCATTGTCTTGCTGAAATACAAAATCATGACCATTCCCCAAAGATGTAGAACTGTTCAAGAGTTGAGTTGACAAAATTGAGTGTATTTTGCAGCATTCATTGTTCCTTCAATGATTTTCATTTTTCCTACTCCATTTGAGGAAAAACAACCCCACATCATGATCTTGAAGTGAGACCTGCACAATTCAGTGATCTTTTAATTGTATCTTTACTAACTTCAATTCTGGCATTTTTCAAATCATTCTGAATTTCTCGACGAGTTGGAAATGAATTTTTCTTCACAGTACGGGAAATGTATCGCTCATTAACCTCATTTAAGATACATGGACGACCACTCCTTTGAATGTTTTCAATAGTATTGAATTTTTTCCATTTTTGAACAACAGCACCAACTGTACTCACAAGCAAATTCAAATCTTGAGTGATTTTTCTATATCCCTTACCATCTTTGTGATTCTTTATGATCTTCTTGCGCCTGTCATTCGACAATTCTTTTGTTTTCACCATTTTCTTGCAGTAGTGGCAACAGAATAGCTGCAGTGTCTCAGAGCTGTTATCTAATAGCCAGTTGAGTGTCGTGCAATGCTGTCATTGGTCAATATATCATATCAATATGGGTAGGAATCATGACGACACGTCTCTTCTAGCATAATATTTACATTGGTGTTAAATACTTTTGCATATAGGTTATTTTATTTATTGTTAATAAATGTTTCTCAAAACAGTGATTTTAAATTTTCCTTCTATGTTTTGATTGACAATGTTCGTTTAAATATTTCCTATAAGTTTCATTGAAATTGATCTGTTATTTTTTGAGATATGTAAGAAAAAACAATGTGTTAAATATTTTTGCTACCTACTGTATATGCAACATAATGTCAGTTCAATAAAACAAAGAAAGAGTTTTGTCAGTTGTTACAACAAAAGCTGTTCAGAGCCCTCCTGACCCTTAGCCTCCATGACAACTCATGATTAATTTAGCATTTTATGTCTTGTTTATCAAACTTCAGCAATTGCTTTTGTAAAACAAGAAACTCAAATAACTTACGTTATATTGGAATTTGTAATAATAAAAGACATTATCATCAAATGTGCAGGTTTTACATAGCAAAAAAATAATACTCATGTTCACAAAAAAAAAACTTAAGAACAGGTTGATAAATTCTTTTTATAACTATTTTCTTTTTTTACATGTAGGGATTTCAGATTTTATTTTTTGTTTTGTTTGCTGCCACTAAGAGTAAAAATGTAAAAGTAAAAAAAGAGTAAATAGAGTTGATGAAACAAGTGTTGAATGTCAGAAATAATGCCGAACCGATGCATTGTGGAACCAACTCCCAAGAGGTTGCTTTCCCAATGGTTACAATCTTAACTTATCCAAGTCTAGGGTTAACCATTGCCTATTCCACCTATCCTCATAAATTATGCCTCTTACTCTGTAACCCTCTACCTTGAGTGACTCTTGAGCTTTGTACAGGATGAACATTATTGTAAAAAAAAAAAGTAATTATTGACACAGTGTTATGGTTGGAGCGATGTTGTCTTTTGTCCAGCTTAGTGTCATCAAAATGTCTAAAACTGTTTATATCACTGACACCCCCACTAATATTAGAGATATCTAAATACACCAACCACGCCCTACCTTTACAGAACAAAAAAAAATGTCACAGGAATCTACCTTAAGATAAACCAACAATGCTCAATGTCTATAATATAAAGGAATCCAAAATGGGAAACCATACTAAGGCATAATTGTAATAACAACAACAACTTAGAATATGTCTATATAACTATAGGCGTTAATCTGCGTAATATCAGTTTCATGATCAGAGTTTTGTTATGAAACTCAGTTACAGCTATGTTAGCATCTCCTGATGTATTTATGCTTGTTGTTGTTGTTGTTATTATTACTTACATTGTTCTTATTACTTATATTATACACAGGCAAACCCTGCTTTATGTAATTAATTCATCCTAATATTTACTTTTGTAAGATGTATCACTGTTCAATAAATAACAGAATCAATGGGAATAATTGCAACAAATCTTTGTCCTTTCAAATTGTACATCAAGACTTATAAAACATGTTTGAAAAATGACTTTTAGCTGTATATAATATCAAAACTATATAATGTCAAAACTGTAACTAATGTTAAAACTGTATATAATGTTAAAACTGCCAGTATATAAAAATAATTTTGATATTTTTCATTTCTTTCTTTATATTATACCTAAACTATTTATTGGGAAAATTATCTGCCAAAGTCGATTAATTCAATCTTCAGATTTTCAACCAGATCATGTTTATTAACTAAGCTATAAATGAGAATGTGTGTGTGTGTGTGTGTGTGTGTGTGTGTGTGGGTGGTGAGGTTTGATCAACAAACACTCACTTATAAGACATGATAATTGAATTACAAGTTTCAACAAAGAACTTGCAGGAATTAAATAATTATACATGTAAAACAGGAAATGGTCATAGTTTTCAAAATTGCAGTAACTGGATTTCATGTTGACTGAAGTAACGAAAAGTGGGGTATACCATGTCTCTCTCTTTCTCCATATATATATATATATATATATATATATATATGAACACACACAGTATCCCAACTATACTTGGGTAATTCTTTTGTAGATTTTAAGATAAAGTATGGCAGACTTATTTCACAGAGTGAAATGCTTCAAAGCATTAATTTTGCCAAAAAATATTCTTCTTTGCAATATTTTTATTTCAGAGAATTACAGAAATGTAATTCTTGAAAAAATATTTATTTTTTCAATTAGATAATTTGAAAAAAAAAAATAAACAGTGATTTTTAATTTACTGAATGTTTTCATCAAATAAGGTAGTAACTGTTCCTTGTCGATCCACATGTAAATCTTCTGTTTATATTCCTCCTTTACTTGCATGGACATGAGTTACACAATTTCTATCACTTCTCATGCTCCCAATTATCTGACCATTTCCATGTTGTGATTGGAATTTTTCTCTTGTCATCAAAATTGACACTGGAATCAGTTTCATCAACCCAAATGACCACACATACACGAGTATTTCTTCCTTAGTAAAAGACACAGAACAAAACTTATTTGGACATCAAACAATGCTTTAATGGTATTAATTTCAAAAAGGTGCTTTCTATCTCTTACCAAAAATTTAATCTTTTTTTTCTGAATCTGCCTTATATACACCACGGTTGATACTTTCTATACCATAGAACATGAGTTTTCCTATTAAAATTCAGTATCAACAACACAGCTGACAAACTGACTTACCCACAACTGAGCAGGAACATCCAGAATCCAATGTTCATCTCAATTACAGGTAACACCACATTTACATTTTGACTTAAGAGAAAACTGGCATTGATGTTTTTTTTTTCCTTCCCTCTATTCCATTTCTTTGATGAAATGTGACTTAATCTTTAGCAACAACGACATTGTATGACTTTCCTTGCTCTCCATTTACTATTGCTTTTCATTCCTCCTTGTTGAAGCAAGAAATCTCTCACTATATGATTAGATCCCTGACACCTGGATCACATAAACCCAGCAGTTTTCTGCCAGTCTTAGTTCTGTCATTTTATATAGCAGACATGTAGCTGTTGTATCTAGACTCAGTATTCTTGCTTTATCCTTCAATATTTCTCTGGTTTGGGCCAACATTTTGGCATTGCCACTTTGCTATGAATTGTTCATTGGCTACACTAGTTGCATACAATACTTCTTTTATCACACATCATCTTTCTTCTTTGACTCATTTAAATATTGGTATTCAGGAAATTCTCCATCAAATTGATGAAGTGGAATAACTTTTTCAACTCTTCACTATGGTACCTAGACTTTATGAATTTAAGTGCAGTACCAGACTGGCATTGAGATCTCATCAATTGGCAGTTGAACTGGTTAGATGTAGCCGTAAGTTCTATGCTAACAGTTTCTTTTCTTACACTTGTGGGACTCCCTTCTGGCTCCATACTTTCCAGCCAACTTTAATCTGCAAAAATTTAAATGCAATGTCAATCACTATCTACTGTCCACCTGATACTCTTTTCTCTACCAGCTCATTATTATTGTTTCTTTTCCTAATTCTGCCACACCTTGTAAACCCTTGAGTTTTAGTGGCTTTACTGTTTTGCATGGGGAGATACCAATTAAAAACTTTATTTCTATTGCATAGATCACAAATCAAATCAAATTTTTCTATCCATTCATCCAAGTTTGAATGGATATTCAGGTATCAATTGTAAATAAAAGAAAACATCTTTCTAAAGTCAAGAGATTGTAATAAAGTTGGTTAAAAAAAGATATTCTTTTTAACAAATAAAACTCATAGGGAATATTGAAGTCCAGTACTGCTGAATTAACAACACAAATCCAACTCTGATAAATAGTCCAGCTATAACTCTGACAGAATAAAAAAGGACAAACAGGACAAACAGGACACAGCAAGGCTGTTCTACTTTGGTTATATATCAATAGTGGCCATTTTGAAATATCTCATGATGATTGCCACTAGGTGGCACAGTCTTTGTTTCTTCAACTCTTACCAGTTGATGTGGTATGACCAGATCAGTAAATTTTAAAGGTCCACAAATAATGACACTCGTGAACCCGAAATATAAACAACCCAAAATATGCTTGCTTTTATATCTATGAACACAAATCACTGATTAATTCAAAGACATGAACACACGCAAACATCCTGAGATTTATCACACATAAATTCAGGTGTGCATTTGATTAAGCAGAAGTTTTTTTTCTCTATTAAAGGATAGCATGATGATAATGACTTGTTTCTCTTACTTACCAATGCTTTCTTTCTCCTCTCTGTCTGTCATTTCATCTTGGCCTGGTTCAGATTTAATTTCCTGCTTTGATTTCCTTTCTTGTTCCTTTGGATCAAATTTCAGGAGGTCATTTCCTGGTTTTATGTCTTCACTTTCAGATTTAATGGAGCTCTCCAGAGAGGAGGTGAAAAAATAGGGCTGCTTCACTCCACCTTCTTTTTTCCATTCATAAAATCTAACAAAATAAAATAGTTATCATTTTGGTGTGTGTGTGTGTGTGTGTGTGTGCGTGATAATACACATATACTCACACACATCCACAAAATATGTTTAAATATGCCAAAACATGCAAAAATTCAAAATTCATCAGTATCTCATTATCATTTTTGCTTTATCACTTGAATGTATGTTATGACAGAAAATGAAAGAAACTAAGCATAAAAAATGATGGAGTAGTAGCAAAGTCAGTGGGCAGTAATAAAAACGGAAACCTTGCCAATGTATATCAAAGTTCAAATGCAACCAAGATTATTCTTTCATCTTATTCCTTACCAGAATTTGTTGTGTTGTTTATGTAAACAAAGGTTTTGATTTGTTTCATAACTAATAATTTGTCTAATAATTCATTTTTTTAATAAATTTTACCTATGATATCACATATATAAACAGCAAATACTTGTGTGTCTATATAAACTGCAAATACTTGTGTGTCTATATAAATGGCATTTATTCCTGTAAATGTTATATTTTAGTGAATACAAGTGTTTAAGTCAACAATTTGTTTTTTTTTGTTTTTTTTTTTATTAACAGAAGTGAATTGCATTTACTGATCTGTGCATTCAAGAATCTTTATAAAGAAAATGTATCCTCTGGCAGGATTTGAACCTTCATCCACCATTTTGTAGGGTGCATTTACTTTATTAAGACTCAAATACACAAGCCATTAGATGTAATTCACATTGTTTTAAAAAAAAAATAGTGCATATTCTCAAACATGTGCGTCCACTAAAACAGAGTATTTAAATTAGGTACCTCCACAGAAAACACGGTACCTAAGGTTTAAAATTAATTTTTAAGAATGAAAAATCTTTCTTAAAGCTTTTATTTTAGTTTTAATTTCAAGCTAATAGATTAAATTTGATATTTCCAATAAGCAAAATACTTTGCTTCTTTCAAAAACTAATTTAAATTGATTGGAAGTTTTTTTTGTTTTTTTTTTCATTGCTAAACTAGCTGATTAGCACCCTTGTTTTAGCTGTCTTTCATTGCAAGGTAATTCTCTTTATTAAAAAAATCTTAAAAATGAAACATGCTTTTCTGAAACTTTATTATTTACTTTAAGTTTAAAATATTGCAGAAATGCATTTTTTAACCTGATAGTAGCTGTTTATTTAAGCTATTGACAGCTTGATGACAAATTGATGTTTATCTAATGTTGTTCTACAGGGGCTTTAGCTGTAAAAAATAATTGAATATAACATGAGTGCCTTTTATATATAATTTTTAAGTACTCAGAAATCTTTAAAATTTAAGAAAATATCCTCCATAATCACATGTTTTATTGAATTTTAGATACTTTCTGGCTTTAAATTTACTATAGTTATCACCGTTATTTATTAATAATGTTGTGTATGATCATCCATATCTACAAAAATCAGCACATTTATACACATACGAAAAAGACAAAATTCTTTTAAAAATATTGGTGTTTGATAATTTGTACTAAGATTTTTCATTTATGATTAGTAAATATAGTTTTTACTTAATAATAATAATAATATCTAAAAAGATTTAAAAATTAATAAATTATTCTAATTAAAATTTAAAAAATGTAAAACAATTCTTGTAAACTTCCATTATTCATTGAAAATAATTTTTTTCTGAAAACAATAGTGTCCTTAAAAAAGCAATTAAACACTTTTCTAATTAAATAATGTCATAGTTTTTTTGCATTTTTTATTTTACAATTTAGAACAGATTTTCAGTAAATGGTGTTTCTGTTTGGCAAAAATAAATGAGCCCTGTTTTTAAAATAAATATGAAGAGGGTGGAATTTTAATTTCTGAAAATTTCATAAATTTAAGTAAGTAAAAAAAAATTTTTTAAAAATATTTTTACCAAGATTTTCTAAAAAAAAAAAAAAAAAAATAAAAAAATAATTTAATTCATTTGTGAATAAATCCTGAAAATTTAATTAAAATCTGAGAATTATTTGATTTTTGCAAGAATTTCCAAATCAATGTATTTTTCTGGAAAAAAGGTGCTAAAATATTAATCTTTGACCCACAAGTTGATACAAGAAAAACAACCAAAATTAACCAAAATTTAGAACATGCTAGAAAGGATTAAAAAAATTTAATAAAATAATCAAAAAATACATAATAATAACAAATAATTTGGCAATAAAACTTTGTTATTATCAAGTTTGGGAACTTTTTTTCTTTTTGAACAAATTTTTGGAGGTACCTAATTTAAAGTACAATAATAAGAAATAATATCAGATTAAAAATAAAATCTAGACTGCTTGTAAAAAAGCAGGGAAGAATTTTGGAGGTAATAATTATTGCAAATTGGCATTCATTAAACCTTCCTCTGCCTATTTGTCAGAATCAAAAAATATTAATTTTTTTATCATTTTAAAAGGGTGCAGGGGTGTTCTAAAAGGATAAAAAATTAATATTTGTAATATAAATACAATGTCAAATTGATTGCTGACTTTGTAAAATTAATCTTCATACTCATTCTTTGACTGTAAAAAGAAATTCATACATAGAAGGGGTCAAGAGTTAGATGTACTTTGATTTTATTTGCAATTGTCAAATTTGAAACTCTGCTTATACCATTGATAAATGTATACTACTGATGTCCCTTTTCCCATAATCATGTTGTCAGAACCTGCTTGCATCGGGATCATCATCCTCCCCACCCCCTATTGGCAATGGTGGAAATGGCTGTGAATCATAAAGTTTGATGGGGCCATTCACATGAATTTGATTTTGGTGGACAATTCAGTACAACAGAGAAGCCCACATATTTGGCCAGCAGCATCTCCCCTCACAGCTCAAAGGGATTGAGACAGGTGAGATTTGGCAAACTTAGTTGCATTGGGCTGTCGGATGCTTGGTTTGTCAAAGTCCGCCTTGGTTATGCCTCCTCTGTCGGTTTGGCCATTGAAATCTTCTAGATCTTTGCCTCTTCTGCCATTGGGGTCTTCAGGGGGTGGGTCACATTCAATTTGATAACTATACTGTTATGAGAAGAGACCAATGAAATAAGCATAATTTCAATAAAAATAAAATATGTATAATTCTTTAAGAAGTCAGGGATCGATTTAACACTTCATTTATCTTATGAAGATCAGAGCCAATGCATACTACACCCAAACACCCCACCCCAACATGGAAGGCAAGCCTAATTGGCGGCCTCAGGTAGTGCTTTATAACCCTTGTTATCTTCTACATACATTTATATATGTTACAAATTAAACTAAGTATGACTGGTTATTAAAGGATGAAAATTTTTTTAATTTTAATGTAATTCTGTTTTTTTTTTTTATCCAAATCTGTGAATTTGTTTTGCTAATGCCAAGTCTCAAACAAACACTATATAAAATTAATTATTTTTTATCCATAATGTCGAATGTATTAAAATTCTTCAACTTTTTTAACATGAAAAATCTCCATTTGATGTTAAACATTGCCGTAAAACGTTGTTGATTTATTTAAGATGGAATGATCTATTATATGTCTCTAATTTGTATTTAGATACACTATTTATTTTCAATTTTTCTAGTTGTGTTGTTCACTGATGTTACATATGATCTATTATTGTAAATAATTAGGTTACAATTTGTATTTTATATGAATACTACTGTATGACAATTGATATGTGGTAGGGTTGGGGGCCCTGTATCATAGATTCGGTGGTGAGGCACAAGACCCTTGCACCAGCCACTTCTAAAATGATACAAAAAAAATAAAAAAAATAATCAATATGTTTTTCATTCTGATAAATGCTGTAGGCAGAAGATTGCCTAATGAATGCCAATCTACAAAAATTATTTCCGCACAAAATTAGCGTAGTGAGTAGTGATAGCCTTAACCAGTGCAAGAAGAATTTCTAAACTAACAAAAGCATTCAGTTGTATTAAAGTAGTTTTCAGAATCATCATTAACTTTTGAATATTTTTTGTACAGACAGACAAGAGAATATAAGAGAAAAACAAAGAAAAGAAATTTATAAAAAAATTCCTGAAACTCATTCTCTGCCAAAAGAAATCTACACATAGGAAAAACCTGTCAAAGTTGAATTTTGATTTAAAATTTTCATTTGATAATGCCTGATTCATATGATTAATGAATTAAGTGCTTTAACAAGGAAGGAGATTATGTTAAGATAATAAGTATTTATGTAAAATAATTTTGTTTCATTATTAGGTTATAGACTTATTGATGTATAAATCTTGGATTCCAATTTCAAGATCGTGAAATTTCCTATTGACCAAATTTTCTATCTTACAAGATTCATTAAAGAAAAAAAACTTATTCTGAATGAGAAGCTGAACAGTGGAGGCTGGAATTTTAAATGAAGTGTTTAATGGGATTTTAAATGAAATTTTTAATAGTACTTTTTAAAGAAATGTTAAAAGGTATTTTTTAAATGAAATGTTTAATGGGATTTTAAATTAAATGTTTAAAAGGTATTTTATAAATAAAATGTTTAATGTTTAAAATAATTTTGATTATCGTATATAGGACAATGAAAATATAAATGATCTTCATATTACTTGATAAATTATTTCAGAAAAAAAAAAAAAATGAATATCCAGTGATCATAAATTTTTGGGGGTGTATTTTTTTCTTTATACCAATATATATAAGAGTTCTCTTATAAAATGATTTAAGAAAAGTAACAATAAAATAAGATAAAATTCAGCATTATTCTCTTTTGGAGTCAAACCTTTCAATGTTGATCTATACAGATGTGTGGTGTGTATTCTTGACTATTGACTCTCAAATCAATATTTGCTATGAATATTATGTTGAGCTGAAAATAATTTTCAAGCTTTATAGCATTTATTTCAAAGTTCAATAAATTCACGAAGGATGATATTTTACAGATGGATAGAGCCATTTTTTTTCAGTCTTTTTTTCATTGTAGACATTTACAATTGAAAAAAAAAAGCAGACACCATTTAATTTTGATATTGATCTTTTTAATGGCAAAAAGTGGTTTGACCGAATAAAATCATTTTACATTCAGTTCCAATGATTTAATAAAATGAATCTATATTAGAAATAAAAATAAAATTTATTTTCAGAAAAAAACAAAAAATAAACATCTTTATTATTTAGTTTTCTTATAAAGAAGAAGAAAGACAATGTGTTATTAAAAGTGAAAAAAATGTAATCATTGATGTAAATGGGTTTCAAGAGTTTCAAGTTTATAAAATTGTCTTTTAAATATGGCCTGTATCAAAAGCATTTTCATTTTTTTTTTAATGAATACTTTATTTTTTTAAGTTTAATATAGTAATGATGATATTAGCCGTTTCCCCACAAGGAAACATTTGGCATTCATTGACTGAGCAGACATTACTGCTTTTGGTTAAAATTTATAAACTCTTTCTCGTAAAATAATTATTGATGTCAATCTGTTAGAAATGACTGAAAAACACTTGCTCCTCCACATTTTATAGGCAGAAATGCAGAAATGCATGCTGGGATTTCTTCCTAGCTAATAAAATAGGCTGGTTCTCAGTTTCATCTGACTCAGCTCTGGTTTGTCTTGTTTATGTTCACTTGTCCAAACTTGCTTTTGTGTGTCAACCCCCAATTATTAGTTTGTGAACTTTTTACCATATTACTGTTACTTTGTTTCATTAATTATTTGCCTTGCATATATTGTTTGTTTGCTTTATATTTGTTTCCCCTGTTCTTTTCTTTTTCTTGTTATTGCAAACTTTGTCAATTCTGTTTGTTGGATAGTTCTCTTACTTATTTTGCATTTAACCATGGCCACTCACTTCACAATAATTGTTCAGGAAAATAGTCCAGTAGCTGTTATTGCTCTTTCTAGTATTGATGGGAGTTTCCTTCCTAGCCGTTATATAATAATGTTTTATAAATTATATATTTTGATGAACTTGCATTTGGATTCTCCCTTTTCTTGCTTTTTAAAACATCACAATTGATGACTGATGATTGTCCACTTCTTGGTATAATTTTAATAAACAAGTCAAAATGCTTAAAACAGTTTTGGACAGTATGGCCAGGTCTTTCATTTGTTTCCAAAGTTCTATGAGCAGCTTCAGTGGCCTTGAGAACCAGCTTAAAATAATGTATCAAAATTGTTAATCTCAATATTTATATCTGCCATTATATGGTGTAATGGATAACAGATCAGAGTAAGAAACAGAGAGCCAATTTTGGATTCTAGTCAGGCTTGTTACATTCACTTATGTGCAAATACCATTGAGAAAGCTATGAATATATCTCTTCTCCTAGGTATGGGTTAAATAGTAGAGTTTGTATCTGGAAAAATCATTAATACAATATTCACTTGCAAAAAAATGTAATTCTTACAATCAAAAATATTTTTTGGGTTTAAACAATGCACAAAAGGTTGATAAACCATGAAAAAAAAGAAGATTGTAGATTCTTTCTTTTGATTATGATGTTCTTTTTCATCATTCACTGCAGTGCGTTGTTGCTTAAAATAACAGAGTAGTATTCCCCTATGGTAAATAAAATAAGAGGCAAAAGTGGTTCTATCCATGTGTACCAGTCAATGTATCCATGGCTAAGAGGATATTTAATCGTTCGGATATGAATTATCAATGAATTAGAAAACTTCCTTGTTACTAAACACTCTAAACACCAGTTCACCAAGGCTTGAAATATCCAAGGCTTTTTATTTTTATATTAGCCAAATTACTGAGTAAAAAGTAAAAGCAAATGTCTTTTGTGTTTGTGGTGAACACATATCAGTACAGTGTTATTTTCTTACCTCCCTTCTCTGCCTATTACCCCCGTAGTTCTTGGGAAAGCAATTGATTAAATGTTTCCCCCAATCTCAATACACCCTTGCTGTATATTATAATGGTGTCTGCTTTAAGAAAATATTAACTTCTGCATCATAAAATGATAACAAAAAAGTTAAATGAATGAAAATTGAAAATACATTTTTTTTCTGTTAATTTACAGGAAGCAGTGAAGAATCAAAACAAAAACATGAAAAATTAATTGAATCCAAAATAAATTTCTGTTTATATATCAGACTATAAATCCAAAGTAGACAAAAATTTATATTTTAAATAATCAAGACCCAATCCAATTTCAGATGAAATCTAAAAGAAATCTTGTCACTCCATTTTTGCACATATTATTGCCCTGTGACTGAGACTTTAGAAAAATTTAACAAAACCTATGAAAACTGTTTTAGGAAGAAAGTTTTAAAGCTTTTCTTCTATGTGCTGTGTCCCTTCAGGATGTTGGCAATCATGACTGTCCACAATTTCCTGTTCTTTGTAGCTCTTAATAACTTTTGTCTTTTTGCTATCTACCAAATCCTGCTCTGTTATTCATCCTGTTCAAGTTCAACAGGTAGGTTGTGTGTTGCTTTCCCCTGGCCCTCTTACCTTCAATCTGTCCTGTGAGTATCAAAGTTTTCAAACTCTATTTCCCAAATTTTCTTTAATGAAATATTTTCACTATTATTATTTATTACTATTTTTTTCACATTATTGCTTGTTGACATGTCACGTCTATATATACTTCACCTTGAAAAACCTATCTGTGTAAATTTGGTAATAAATAAATAAATAGCTTCAAGCAAGACTAGAACTCACATTACCTTGGATGGTCAGCTTTCATAGATATCGCTATAACTATTTTGAACAAAGATTTGATGTTTCAGTTGGGCACAATTTTGTCATTATTCTGCCACCCTAGCTTTTCCAATTCTTTATGTCAGTTTTGTTTTGATACCATATATTATTAGTAGTTTTAAATTACTTTTAGAATTTTTATTTTTTATTTTTTTTATTTACTGCTTATTTTAATGGTGGAAGAGTTTAATAACACAGAGTGTTGTGATAAAATGCAACAGAAATAAGATGGAGAACGAATAAAATAATAATAATACTTATATTAGCATTAAGCATTAGTTTGGCACAAACTATGGTGCACCCATTGAGCATCAAACTCACTACTCAGTAGTAATGGTCAACAACACTAGCTTACTACCTTACCTCATTATTGAGGTACCCAAACATCTTTTCTGTTATTCACCATTTTGCTTTGTTAACCCAGGTAAAAAGTTTAAAATAAGATTCCTCCATGTTTTTTTGCTTTCCTTTAGTATGGCTGATGCTAACCTCCAGAAGAATAACTCTTTATGCCTTTTTGGGCTAACATTTTCTACTGATATGAAGTGTAAAGATTATATTGAATCAATTGCTAAGTCTGCTGCTAGGAAAGTTGGTTCACTGAATTGTGCTAGACAATTTTTCTCACCAAAATCTATCTTACACATTTATAAGTCTACCATTTGTACATGCATTGAATATTACTGCCACATCTGGTTTGGTGTTTCTGCTATATATTTAGAGATTCTTGACAAAATACAAAGAAGAATCTACAATGTTATTGGTCCTGATCTGGCATCTTGCTTTCAGTCACTTTCCCACTGTTGTAACATAGCTTCCCTGTGCCTTTTCTATAAATACTTTCATGGTAATTGTTCAGATTAGCTTTCCCCTTTGGTACCTAGACTTTATGAATTTAAGTGAAATACTAGATGAGCTGCAAGTTTTATAGTTGAAACATCTAGATGTAACTGTAAATTTCATTCTAACAGTCTCTTCCCACACTTCTCACTTGTGGAACTCTCTCCCAGCTTCTTGTTTTCCAGTCAATTTTGATCTTCAAAAATTTTAATGCAATGTCAATCGTTATCATCTGTCTTCTTAATTTCTGTTCTTTGATTGTTATCTCTCATTAATAAGGTTTTCTTTTTCTCATATTCCCTCACACTCAGTAACACCTTGCATCTTAGTGGCTTTATTGCCTTGCTTGGGATGAAATGATTAAATTTTATTGCCCTGATGTAACTTAGTTTAAATAATTCTAGATAGTTGCATTTCATTCAATTATTACAAAATGTATTGAAGACCACAAACTATAATTCTTGTCCCATTTAGTGACATACACATTAAAAATATATAGAAGTCTGAGATCATTTTTTAAAGAATTTTACATATGGATTTATCATAAATATGTCAACTTTGTTTTTTAAAGAATGATTAACTATATTTAAAAATAAATATATTTAAATATTTGAAAATAAAAGTTGTTCAATTTATTCCATTGTTCAATAAAATAAAATCAATGCTCATGAAAAGTTTTAAATTATTTTATTGAACAACATATAGATTTTATATGAATAAAAATAAATAAATTAAAACTTACCCATCAGCTAAGACAACACAACGACGTCCTTTTTCCAGAGGAGTTTTGAAAGTCCTTTTTTCTAACATAGTCTCAGATTTGCAATTGTTTGTGCCATAGGCCATTTTTTTGGGGTCACCCTTATGCCATGAGGGTACCAGGCCCCAGTACATTGGCTGGATAACTCGTTCAGTGAGTGGCTCAAGTTCTGATGCACAGTGCTTGCTTGATAACATCACAGGCCTGAAAGTAAAGATATCATTGACCATTATAAAATACCATCCAAATGCAGTTCAGTGTAAAAATATGGTGCTATAAAAATTGAGATGTGCAATAAAGAAAACAATATGACATCCAGTTTTAATTAAAGGAGAAAGTAATTTATGGCAAAAATGTATAGAAAGTGTTCTAATTTCTGAGTCTTCTATGGTAAATTTATGTCCAAGATTATCCAGCATATGACTTTTTGTAACAAAACTACTGCTATTACAATGTGAGATATTTAAATACAACAGCAATAAAAACAGAAGTAGTAGGAAGCAGAACGAGGTTGGCTTGGTTCTGTCTGTGGATGCCAGTAACTTAAAATTTAAACCCAAAGTTGAGGTCCCTACATTTTTAGCATTTATCTTGTTGTATAATTATAACCAACATTTGTTGTATTTCTTTCCCTCCTTCCAGATATATATGATTCCATCAATAAAAACATTATTAGTCAGAAGTCCTATCAAAGTAATAAAACATATAACAGGATTTTCCATTTTGTCATTCAGTTATCCACCATTTATTTATCATATTCATCCAGGACTAGTGCTCATCCCCGATTCTACATCTCAATTTCCAAAAAGTTGTATTCATATACAAATTTTATTGTAAGCCAATTATATACAACAATGGATCCTATTACTTATTATAAAATGCAGATTGTGTGTGTGTGTGTGTGTGTGTGTATGTGTGTGTGTGTCTGTATGTTTATATATTGGATCGGATTTCCTACATTTTTCAAACGATTTCAACAAAACTTCACAGGACTACGTAAAATTACCTTGCGGTGGTTCTAACAGCGCCCAAAATTGGAAAAACACAATTGTTTTTGCATGAAATCAATTTGAAAACCCGATTAAGAGGCATCACAAGAATGAAAGGGGGACAACTTATATTGAGTTATACTTATTATAAAACCCAGGTTGTTTGTGTGTGTGTGTCTGTTCGTTTATATATGTGATCGGATTTCCTACATTTTTCAACCGATTTCAACAAAACTTCACTTTTTTTTTTGGCAGGTAGTGTTTCTTATTGTCTTGCACACTTTTTTCTTTATTTTTAAATACAGAATGCTTTAAAAATTCCATTTACAAGACAATAAAATTCTATTCAATTGTTAGACTCATAACAATTGAAAACAATGTTTTTGTTTGAGTTTGACCAATTCGTAAAAAAAAAAAAAAAAAAAAAATAATTAAGACATGTGTGTCCGTCAACCTTAAACAATAATCTTTGTCAATTTTATTTTTCAGTCTTTATGATGGTCAATACTTGATCTATCTCTTACTGTTACATCCCCGGGCAACGCCGGGCTCTACGGTTAATATGTAATGGAGGTGAACACTTCACCTTGAAAAATTAGAAAATAAATACGACATATCTAAATTAGAGACATGTCATAATAGATCATACCATTTTAAATAAATCAACAATATTTTGCAGCAATTTTTAACATGAACTTGAGATTTTTCTTGTTAAAATGTTGAATAATTTTAACACATTCAACATTAAGGATAAAAAATAATGAATTTTATATAGTGATTTTTGACACTTAGTATGGGCAAAACATTTACAGATTTGAACGACCCCATGACCCTAGAATGACATCAAAATCTACAAAGATTTTTCATCCTTTGGTCAGTTGTGCTTAGTTTAATTTGTAATAAATATAAATGTAGGCAGAAAAAAACAAAATGTTAGTGAAGATCACAAAGCACTACCCAAAGCCCCCAATCGGCCCCTCCATTTCCCTACCCCTTGTTTTGGGGGCTCAAGTGTAGTACGTGCTGGCTCTATATTCACCCATGACTTGAGTAGAAAAAATATTCTTCAGCTTCCCACTATTTTCCATCATCATCTTCTCAATTTTTCATCTAGTCATTTAAATTTACATTTTAGAAATGTTTTTTTAAGATTCTTCTTTTGACTCATTTCTAAAAGAAATTTAAATGACTGCACAAAAAAAATATCTTTTAGGAACAGGAATTATTTCAGAATAAAGCAATAAAGGGTAATAACTTCTTTTTTTTTTTTTATTGTTACATAACAAGTCCCATAACCCAGGGTCATAGTGGCACAGTGCCATAGCAGCAATGGTGTGTCTAGGGCAACATAGCATATCTCTCTTCAAGCTGGTTTTGCATTTAGAGTTTTCCTTCTCTTAGATTGCTTGTCAAGAGAGCCTAGTCAACCATGCAAATTTAACCCATAGCTGAGGGGAGAAGAAATGGATTCATAGAGGATTTGTGTAAAATTGAACATAATCATATTGTCCGGAATTTGAACTTGTCTCGCCAATTTCTCTTTCTAAGTCTCTAACCACTACACTATTTGCACATCCTCAGTTTTAGGTAATTCTTAGTGAGTTAGTTTGGTTAACCATTACTAGTGAATTTGATCCTCACTGGTGCAGGGTCCTCATGTTTTTGACTAGTCTGATACAAAATGATAAAAATCCCATCACTATTTCAATATTTCTGCATCCTCCTAGATGCCTTATCTAAAGTCACTTTTTATGAAAGTGACAAGGATGAATAAAATTTCAATTAACCATGTTTAGATAAAAATTAACAAATCAAATTTTTTTCTTGTTTATACAGACTTTAGAGAGTGTACAAAGAGTTCATTTACAAATGGCTGCTGAAAAAATTACAGCATCACACAATTCTCAAAATAAAGCCAAAAGACCAAATAGCAGAACCTTTTTTAAATCCACAAAAATGAAAATTAGCAGAAACATCAGCCTTTAGAAAACATGATTGCTAATCCATAATTTGTCAAAAAAAATATATAAAAAAGAAAAAAATAGCCTAGTGGCTAGGCTGCCATAAAATGATATTGACGTGTCTAAACTGGTTGACAATTAAGGGCCTTAAAAAATGGGTCCTAACCTGATTTACCTGAAACATGTCTCATTATCAATCATCAAGATCCTCTTGTGTCTGGCAAATAAAATATCAGGGGGATACTGTATGTTGCAGATTTCAATCCCCAAAGAGGATTATACCCGGAAATAATTAACTGCTCACAATGTGTGTATTTTTAGAAAATAAACAAATATACTTTTAGCAAATTATGTCCTTATTTCACTAATTTTTGAAAGCTAAAATTATTTCAAAAGTAAAAGTAGACAATAAAACAATACACAGTATTAAAAATGACAGAATAATGGAAAATTTGTGCCCACTGAAAAATCAAAGCTTCTTGGGACTAGTTTTAACCAAAATTTACCAATTTATATATATCCCAGTATATCAGGAAAGACAGTCTGAAAGAAACCGTTTACCATTTTTGATACAAAGTATTTTATAAATGAGGAAAGACACTGCTGTAAAAATGTTTCTCTAAAGAGACACATAATTTGAAACAGAAAAATAAAGGCATTTTATTTTATTAAAAGAAACTAAAGACTCTTTTTGAAATGTGTAGATGACTTACAAATTGAGACACTTAATTTGATACTATAGCTCTATTTGATAAAATAGAATTGACAAAAATAACTATTTTTAAAGTCTGACGATGTAAACAATACATACAAAAAATGTCAACAAACATACAAAAAGTTTGAAATTTCTTCTGGTGCTCTCTTTGGACAGGATTTTATAAACAGGAAAGAGAGACAGCTGTTTGTTTTGGTAATATGATTCAGGCTGTGTAAAACAAAATTGGCATGGATGGCACAAAACTTACATTTTGCAGCAGCTGTTTAGTGCAATTGATTTGTAAGAACACACACACAGACACACACATGTAGGTTAATTCATGTGTTACTGCTCAAAAAAAAAAAACAAAAAAAAAAGAAAGAAGTTTTCACACAATGAAATCTCAAAGAAAATAACAAGTTGCCATTGCAGAATAATTTTGTGTAAAAATTACGATAAAGTGATTTTGGGATTTTTATCTATCAAGAAAAAGCAAGTGAAGATTCCACAAGAAGTTGGTGCTAATGCAAAAGCAAGGTTCTGACTGGCAAAGATAGAATTATAATGAGGCAGAGATAATTTTCAACAAAGTGCTGAACATAACTGAAAGTAGGTCATAGCACCTGCATCCACTTGGAGATATCCAACCTCATAATGGAAATGGACAATCCACTAGTTTTATCTTTGTTTATTGTTTGTAGCATCTCTGGTTTCAATGTTTTCAGGCTGTCATTTTTTTTTCTTTCTTTTTATCTAATTCTATAACTGAAAAATTCTCCATATGCATAAGATTTTCATTATATATATATATATATATATATATATATATATATATATATATATATATATATATATATATATATATATATATATATATATATATATATACATATATATATATATTGTTTATGATTCTACTGTATGATGGACTCATTCAGAAAAAGCAAATAGATATTGTCAACCAAAATTACAAATATTTTTTATATTACTTCAGATGTTATTTTTAATGTATATTATGTTTAATTAAAATAGATGCACCGAATTTTTTAACAGTGTGTATTACATCTTCAGACCTGAGCTCTCAAGAAAACTTAATAATGAAAATATGCTTACCAGGATGTCTATTTCAAACATTCTCTAAAAATAACATTTGATGTAATAAAAATATTGAATTAAAATAAATTCATAAATTCCTTAGAAATATTGTTTTCTAAAAAAAATGTCTAACTCAAATAGATAGGGACATATATAAAGAAAAATAAACATTTTTTTATCAGTTAAATAAATTTAAAATGGTAATTTCTAAAACATTCTTGCTTTATTAAGACTGACACAAATAGATTTCCTTTATTTAAATTTGGATATTTTAAACTTCAATTTTGATGAAGAGAAACCAAGTTTGGTATAAAGACACAGCTGAAGAGAAAAATTAAACTTTTTTTTCTGAACCAAACTTTCTTTTGAATGCCAAATAAGCACTGAGAATTTGTCCATTTTCATCTTTTTTCTTCAACTCTTTAATACTTGATAGAAAACAAACCTAAAAGATCTTTTTTC